TAATCAAATACTTGTGCTACCAGTAGGTACTTCTTGACGAAACTTTCTTTTAAAAATATGCTTCACAGAATTGGTCAAAGGAGCATGTGATCTTAAGTTTGTCATTTTGAACTTAGAGATCTCATTGCATTTAAATCATGCAAAATGAAATACCTAAAGTACTTTCATAATAGTTAAAATTGTGTATAAAATAAAATTTTTATTAATTTAAGGACTATTTTTTATGCTACCAGCTTTAAACTTCAATAAAAGTATATGTGACTAACCTTTTTAGATACTGATGAAAATGTATGGGAAAAGGGCCGTAAGCAGAGATGCCAACTGCTCCGGACGTGCCTAAATAATTTAAAAAACGGTGAATAATTACAATGTAAATTTGCAAATATTTGACTAAATTTGCTTTTTTTTAAAAAGTTTAGCATGATATAACTATTACAATAGTGGCGAATTATATAGGCCTTCGAATTATTTNGCCTTTTTCCTATCCGACGGAGTTTTGTCCCGTAAATTTTGTAAATAGCTGTAAATACTTGAAAATAATTTTGCGCATTTATTATGAATTTCTCCTTTTCCCTGGGGCTATGTGGCTACTGTGCACCTGAGAAGCTCGGGGGTAATACCTCGAAGGGAGGCGAGGCAGTCTGCCACAAAACCTCTTCTCTCTCTCTCAAACTTGTTTGTTCAATCTCACTACTTCATTCTAATTTTCTCTCAGTAAAAGATACTGAATCCAAACTTTCACCTTTCAGTTGCGCTTTGGCGATTTATTATTTATTTCCACTCAGATGAATTAGTTGGAGCCCCTAGCGGGGCTGATGCTAAGATAACCAACACATATGATGATATGACTGATGAAAATGTATGGGAAAAGGGCCGTAAGGCCTCAGACGCCCAGTTCCACTACAACGAACGAACGAACTGATGATAATGTGTGATATTCACCGTTTAAGAGTGAATTCGAATATGTAGAGGGCAAGTAAAAACAATCTGATCATAGAAAGCAGTAATTACTTCATCTCTGTTTTCTAAAATTATTAGACGCTTTAGAGATCAATTGCCTGCCTGTTTAACAGCTATATATAACAAAGAAAACTAAATCTTTTGTTTTTATTAAAATAATGTGTAATTAAAATCAAATATTATTTTTCTTATTTAGTAGTACATGTTAATATGCTTCAGGACTTCTATGTTTTAACACCTTCAGGTTTAAATATTCACTATGAAATTTTTTTGAATAACATTTTAAAAACAAATTGTTCTTTTCAGGAACTTTAACAAGCTCTTTACAAAATACTTGGAAATTCAAAGTAGCTTAAACCTTTTGTGTGCGATTTTCGCGCATTCTATTGATTTTATTGTAAAAAAAGTTTCACCTTGAATAAATTTGCTGAAGCTTTTTTTTTCTCATGGATTAAACTTGCAATTTCTTGTTATTTGGGTAGGTGTTTTTATAATACACCCTCTTGGCTTTTCATATCGAATCACGTTAAGTATATTTAAAAATGCATTTGAAATTAAAAATTTCTTTTAGCTTACAGTGTATAAAAATAACATCTGTTAAATTTACGGAAAAAAAATTCAACTGTGTATAAAATCGTTTATTTCGCAGAAAAATGCTGTTATTTAAAAACAGACGCCTATTTACGCAGATAAGTACTGTAAATAAAATAATTGTGAATATTATGAATAGTAATATAATTCTGGCATTAAATAATTATGCCAGATTTGTGGTTGGTGTAAGCCAAGAGTAGCATTTGTACGACAAGTTGAAACAGGAATTCACACCTGGGTGATCTCATTGAAAGGCGAGGGCTCTGTAATCTGAAAAACCGCAGCTCAAGTGTCTCAGTAAGAAGAATAATCTAAAATAGTTTTTTTCTTCAAAGTTAAATTTATTTAGTATTTAATATTTAAGAGATAAGAGGTTTAAAACAATAATGGTTCACCCGTATAAAAATTTCCGGCAGCTTAACTTGCCAAAAAAGTATATCTAACGAAGTATAATAATCAAGTAGAGCATCATTTTGATAATCAAATCGAACCACACTCGTAATAATCGTAAAATGATTTGAAAAAAGTGTAGAGTTATCGCTAAGAAAAACTGCGACTAACTAAAAAGGATAAGAAGGTTAAATGACGGTTTTAATCTGTTTATGATTGGGATGAAGAACTGAGATTAATCGGTTTGTTAACAAAACAGCTTTAAAGCGTCAAATATGCAGAGAAAGTCTGTAAGAAGGATGGAAATTTTTTATAGTGCGTGGATAATGGGTAAAAATATTTAAAAAAAAACATCTGTTCTTTTCTTTAACCCTTTGACGGTCAGGGAAATGAGCAGTTTTCGTTTCATTAATTCGCACAGTATTACGTGCAAACAGTAGTCGAAAGTGGCATCTGTTTTCCACCTCCGTTCTTCCGAAAATGTCACCCTTCTCTGGCGATGCCAACTGCTCCGTCTTCTGGAATTGTTATAATAAAGTGGAAGCAAATTATGTAGTAAATTTCGTTGGAGAAGGACAGTTATACGCCTACTTTTTAATAGAGTAACCAGTAGATTGTTGCTTTAACGGTGCATTTTATATGTTACTAATAGTTTTTGATATTTAGTGGTGAAAATCTTACTTAAAAGGAGAAATGCTAAACTGAAAGTAACTTGACTTTCGCCATCACTAGGAAATACTATTTTACAAAGCGGAGCAAGTTGGCTTCTCTGGATGCGGTAGATAGCTCGCCTCACGTGTTTTAAAAATTTCTTAAAGTATTCGTAGTACATATAAATAACAGTTTTCACGTACTTTTCGTTTTTAACATAGTCAATGCAGAATAATAATGGCGAACGAGCTCAACTCGTCAGCGCGCATTGGGGAAAAATTTCACTACGCGAGTAGTGCTCGTTACTTCATTACGGTCAAAATCTTGCACCCGAGCGGAACTCGTTTGCGCGCATTATGAGGCACGATTCGNAATAATGGTGAACGAGCACAGCTCGTCAGCGCGCATTGGGGAAAAATTTCACTACGCGAGTAGTGCTCGTTATAACCATTACGGTCAAAATCTTGCTCCCGAGCGGAACTCGTTTGCGCGAATTAAGAGGCACGATTCGATTGAGAGCTGAACTCGTTCATAACCGTCAAAGGGTTAAACAGTTTTTTTTCCTGTAAAAAATTGGATTTCTTCTATAACTTTCACAGTTTTTTTACAGTGTAGAATAAATAGACAGAAGTTCATATGCGTAGGTCAGCAAAAAAGTTTGCTAACCTCTCTACAGAATAATGAAAATATAATTTTCCATTTTTTAAATCAAAAACATTATTTACTTCTAATGATAATTTTTTTTCAAGTTTTCTAAAAACTTTAAAAAAACCACTATGCTCGATTTATGAACTAACGAGTTGATTTTTCGAAGAAATTAATTAAATCATTCTTCCTTTGAAAGTTCAATTAAATATTCAGAAATAATCAGACAAGAAATAAGGAAGCAAAAGTTTAATTATAAGAAAATATTTAAAATAGACTTTAAACAGATCTAATTCTGAAAGAACTAAATGAATGAAATAAATGATTGAAATAAATTGAGTGAATGAAAAATGAAGCAAAGCATATTCCAAGATTTAAATTTTTTAATAGTTGTGTTTCGTTTGATCGAACATAAATCAAAGAGTAATGAATAGAAGTAACTATGAATAAAAAGATACTGAAGTTTTTTTTTCCAAGTGAAGTTATTTTAAATATATAATATATCTTTCACAAAAGACCTTTAAACGCTGATTCAATTTTTTCTGCTTTATTTCATTCTACCTTTATCAGATTCAGTATCAATTAAGTTTTTAATCAAATTCCATTTTAAATAAAGTTTTTTTTCTTCAATTTTTAATCGTTTCAAAATGGAAACAAAAGTTTATTTTATTTTCGCACCATTAAAAAAAAAAAAATAATAATAATGATTAATTGTGTTATAGGCAGCCTCACGATAACATAAGCGCATTATTGGTCATTCGAAATACAAAACACGCATACTTTTATATTTTGAATAACCAATAAGCAGGAAACATAGTAGAATAACAACTGTGGTAGAATAACTGTTGGACTGCTGGAGAACAGCTGTTGCAGAACATATCTGAAAGAAAAAATATTGAGTCACAAATCAGTAGAGCAGATTATTTAATAACAAATATGTGAAATAACTGTTGAATAAAAAGAAACGTATAGAAATAACTGTTCAATAGCAAATCTGTAAGAATAACTGCTCAAAAACAAATCTGAAAGAATAATTGCTATAACATATTTATATGAATTTGATTCTCCAAAATGGACCATGGCAGATTGATAGTTAAAGCAGAAAAAAAATTAAATCGTTTTCACAGATTACGGATTGAGTTTAAATGGTGGCAAATTGATTATAATCACTTTATCTGTTAATAAAACTTCTCCAACAATCCTCCAATGGTGTAGCTTAATGATGTGGAACTTTAAAAACAAATTTATAATTTTTTATTGTCATTTTTAAATATCGAATAACAGAAAACTTCCACAATGTATCGCTAGACAATTTTTGACTAATTAGCTCATATTATGCTCACCATAAGAAATATCTGTTAAATTTAGTGAAGAAAAACTGTCAACTTGTGTGTAAATATAAAACAGTTTACTTCACAGAAAAATACTGTTATTTAAAAACAGGTGCCTATTTTAAACAGACAAGTACTGTTATTTTAACAAACAAACTATGTTATTTCAATAAAAAGGACTCTATAAGATAGCTATGTCAGGATTGTAGTCGCTGCGAGTCGAAAACAGCTTTCGTGTGACGAGTCGAAGCTGGAATTCGAACCTGGGGCACATTATTGTTAAGCGAGTACTGTGTCCCTTTTTTTATTTGACCTTCAGGTTATAGGTTCAAAATGTGAAATAATAACTGAAACTTTGTAATGCGACCAATTTTTAAAATTATATTTGATATATTCTTTGAATAATTTCTCATAACTGATAAACCTTTTTAGGAAGAGCCATATTTGATGTACAAAGTGGCGGAATCAGGTGTAATTTTAGAAGGCAATGACATGTTTGAAGGTTATTGTAAAGATTTAGCAGATTTAATAGCTGATAACTTAAAGATCAGTTTTATAATAAAATTAGTAAATGATTCTGCTTACGGTGGAAAAGACCCTACTTCTAATGTTGGCTGGAATGGAATGGTTGGCGAGCTCATAAGGAAGGTACAATAATTCATTTCATTTCTATAAATATAAAGTATTAAAAATGAATAATTATGTTACCTGAGTAATGTTGCTGTCACGTCCAGGTAAAAAAATAGATATTAGGTGCCTAATATTAGATTTTCTTGTGAAGTATTCTATCTTGGTCCGAAATATATGATTTAATTAAATAAGTTCGTTAAGATTTATGAAAAATTTTAAGCCAAACATTGCATGAAAATATACTGACTGATAGTCCCCTACGTGACTGTGAAATTCCTCATTCAATGTGTTTATGTGTTTGACTCATCTATTCAAAGGTCAGACACTTCGTCACTAAGCAATTAGCCTTAATTTGGCTTCCCAATATTTCAGAATAATGGAATATAGAGATAATAGTGTAGTGCATATGCTGAAGAATATGCTTCTTATCCATGGAATGAATTAAGTAACATAATGAAACACTGTAAGAAATTCCGGATCAAATTAAGGCATAAAGTACCGGCACAAGGGGTACTGTTTCTGTTTAATGTAGTTTTCAAAATGAAATATAGATGGCAGCACAAAGTGACGTGATTAGTAAATGCTTATTTTATATTTTATGTATTATGTAGTTTAGTTTTCCATGTGTTTTGTCCCAATAAAGTTGTGTTATTAATACCGACATGTAATTTCAAAGTGCTTGTTTCCCCCGAGAGGAAATACCTTTTACTTGAGCATTATCCTAAAAATCAATTTTATTGTAAAATCCCTTTCCTACCGTAAAATATTGTATCATAATTTTTAAAGCATTTATTTAATTAGGTGGATTCATTGATTTTACAGTAATTATTACTGTAAAAACTACGGTATATCAGATTTTTTGTTCCGCAAAAAATGAATTTTGCGGAATTAAGGAGCGACATCCTGAGGGCCGATGCATTTTATTGTCATTTGATCCGGAATTTTTCATGAACCTGATAGATGATTGAGTTAACCTGATTTTTAAAAAAGATTAGCATTCAGACTATCATGTCAAGTCAAAACAGGAACTTACTCAACAGCAGCAGAGCGAGGAAATTATATTCTGATCCGCTTAAAATTCGTAAAAGCCACTTGAATTTCATTTCAAAATTTGTAACCCTTTCATCGCCATTATGACCTCAATCCAAGCGCTCAAAAAATGCAAGGCAACCAGACGACGCTAGGACAGATAGAGTAATCACCAGGGAGCATCACTAGTACACATGTAACTCTATGTTAAATACCTAATACACATTATATTTAATTATTTGAGTTTTATTCACGTAACTTCACAAACAGGTAATAACCTACTGATTTACAACAAAATATTTTTTTATAGGTAGAGGATTCATTACATAGAGCTGATAGTTATAAGTTAAAAATAACTATATCTTCTTGCTTCGTTTGTTTTTTTTATAAATAAAAAGTTTAAATCAATTAAGAAAAATAGCCTGATACCTTTATACAACGTTTACTAACTAGTTAATTTATTTTATACTATGCTACTCCTAATAGCACAATATGTATACAATGCATATAATACGTGATGGCCATAGTGCCTTTAAAAATTTATATAATTAATGCAAAAAATATATGTATTAAAAAAAAAAATATGCTATAGGAATTGTACTACAAAAACTTCCCTAAAGGTACAAAGCTCATTTGGAAAAAAAAATCACGAAGATCCAAGATCAATCTCTCTTGGTTCTTCATGAATGTTGGTTCTGCCAGAAGAACCAAGAGCAATGCATTCTCTATCATATAAGTCACTTTTTCAGTACTTTCCACGTCTGTAATACGTAACATTTACATAAAACTAAGTAGTTGAAAAATTGGATTTTGCAATTAAACAATTTGAAAAAAAAATTTATGTTGAGATTTTAGTACACTGTAAGAAATTCCGGATCAAATTCCGGTAAAAATTGTCAGCACTCAGAGTACCCGTACTTTTTGTAGTAAAATCAATTTTTGCCGGAACATGTTACGGCGCAAAAAAACTGCTATACCATAATTTTTACAGTAATAGCTAACGTTAAATCACTGAATCACTTTAATAAAATATGTATTACTGTAAAATTTACATTTTTGGGTAAAAATAGATTTTACAGTAAAATGGATTTTAAGGATGACGCACCCAAAGTTCTTGTTCTTTATACCATATTTGATCCGAAATTTTACCAGTGAAGAGTTAATTAAAATAAATAATAACAAAAAGAAATACTGTTATACTATTTAACGTATGATAATGCGTAGAAAGACAAAAAACTAGAAAATGTATCTATGATCACAATAAACATTCTAACTAACTTTGATTATTTAAAGTTTAATTTACTTGTATTATAAACAGCTCGTAAGACGATCCCTTTATTATTCTTACTATTTCTCATTTTATAGTATACTTTAATTCCGAGAAACCGTTTCTTTCCCATTTCAGGATGCAGACATGGCAATAGCTCCTCTGACAATTACATCAGCCAGAGAGAATGTAATCGATTTTACAAAACCTTTCATGTCCATGGGAATCAGTATAATGATCAAGAAACCTTTGAACAGGGAGCCAGGTGTATTTTCTTTCATGAATCCACTATCCGAAGAAATCTGGATGTGTATCATCTTCGCTTATGTAGGAGTATCTGTTGTACTATTTCTTGTTAGCCGATTTTCACCCCATGAATGGCGTTATGAAGATAACTACTTGGGTCCATCAGCTTCTAATGATTTTTCTTTGCATAACAGTCTTTGGTTTTCTCTAGGCGCCTTCATGCAACAGGGTTGTGACATTTGCCCCAGGTACAAGGGAATTTGATGTTAGGCATGAGTGTATTGGTGTACCTTTTGTGCTTTTCCTCATCATCTCTGAAGTAAATCCTCGATGTATTCATTTGAAGCTTTTTTTTTATAAATATAATAAGACATTTTTTTTAGTTAAATTTATTTGTTTTTAATTTAATCTCAGTTTTTGTTTCTTATTTTTNATATATATAATCAATCAATCCCCTTATGTTTACATTTAATATATTTTTTTTAATTAAAATTAAAACATTTTTCTCAAAAAGGGAAATTTTGTCTGCAAGTAAGATATAAAATAGCCCTGATAAATTTATATGTTATATAAAAATGCCCTTTGTAATTAAAGAATTGCTAAATTAGTTTCTTAAACGGGATATAAAATGTATGAAATAATCAGTTATATTAAATGTATACCATTAACAACAATAAATCTATAAAGATGCATACATTAAAAAGAGTTAATTCGATTAAGAATTTTATTAACCCCAGTAATGATATTTTATGTAATAATGCGTGGAAGTGAACACGAATTCATTGCGTATCGGACATAAATACTAAAAAGGAAATATTTGAGCTATCTGAGTTTAGTGTTTCAATATCAACATTGCTCGTCGCTTATGTTTTACGTGAGACATTTATCGGAAGTATTAATAAAACAAACGCGTCTCTAATAGCGAGCACTGAGCACGAAAGTATTTGGAGAAAATTGTATAATGTAACTCATTTCCATACACAACTGTTAATTCCATTGCAAAAATGCGAAAATAGAGTTCTAATACACTAGCATAATAATGTAGATATTTATATTTTTTTAATGTAAGCTTTTGTGAGACAAATGATTCCAACATATTTTTGTCATCAATAATAATTATTTAAAAAAGAATTTTCGCATTAAAATTCATCTAATGTAATTTAAAAAATTACTTTTGCGCATTCAATTTGTTAAAAGAAGATTCACAACAGCTTTTCCGATAGAAGAATTTGTGCCTTGCACAAATACTTCTATCGGCGCTGTTCGATCGGCGGCAGTGTTGGTCTCAATAAAGAATTAAATTTTAAGATATGTCATCTTTAAAAGTTCTTTTTTGATAAAGTTTTTAATTTTAAAATATTTTGCAAAAAAGAAAGTGAAATGCGTATTAAAACTTCACTCTGAATTTGAGTAGTATAAATGAAAATAGTATCTTTTTATGAAAAAATTAATATAGAACGGAAAGAAAATATTTTTGTTGCATTTCATTTTCGAAAACAAAATAGAATTTAAAATTTCTTAATAACGTTAACTATTATTATAAACAATTTTTTTTTCAAATTTTTCATCACTCCCGAGATTTAAAAAAATTAAAAAACAGTTTTGAATATTTTTAAAATCCAAAACATACGAAAAAAGCAAAATTTTTTATTTTCCTTTAAGTAAATAACAATACACGTATGGGCAAATCAACAGAACGTTGCACATTATGCAGCAAATTAAACTCTAAACAAATATTTAAAGCATAATTATTTTATTATGAACTTTGAACCCTCTCTTTGCATGTCATTTTTTGTTGTCCCCTCAAAATTGCTGTTTTCCCTCTCAGCTTTCTTAACCTTGCACATTATCCTCACAATTGTGTCAATCGCAGATTTCCCATATGTATTGATGGGGTAGACGTCACATTCAATGTTACGTGTTGACGTCTTAAGAAGATCGAGAATGTTGCAAATGTCACTATTTTTAATCATGTGTAATAATTTTTATTATGAAATTTATAGTAAATTCAGGTAAGTTGTATCATTTTATAAATTCATCACTCACTTTGAAAAATATTTTTTCTCTAATATCAATAGCGGCGCATAAAAGGTAAGTATGCTAAAGAAAGGTGATATAATTTAAAAAATATTAAAAATATTTTTAGTTCTGTTTAAAGAATACTCATTTGGGTTTATTATTTCAGTCATATTTAATAATGCACTCCCTCAGTCCGGAGATTCCAACTGCTCCGGACGCTCTAAAATAATTAAAAAAAGCGGTCAATAACTACAAGGTAAATTTTACAAGTATTTGACTATTTTTGCTTGCTATTTAAAAGGTATAGCATGACATGAGTACTATAAAATGGTGAATTATATAAGACTACGAATTATTTAGAAATAGTGGTGGATAAAAATCTACTAAATTGAATTTATTAAACCAAGAATCACAATTAATAAATTATCACTTTAAAATATATATTTGCTGTCCGGAGCAACTTGGCATCTCTGTCCGTCTTAAATTAGTTGCTACATTTTCATACTTTTGTACTGATTATTGATACTGATGATTTTCTGATTTTATTTGAATATTTATCAGAGATTTTAGAACGCTATTCTATCAATCAACAGTATTTACTTACCATATATTGCCTCCATTTCATCCTAAATCATTACCAAATTAGTTTAAGAAATCCAGAGTTCGCACAGCCTTAAGCCACGCCCATTTTGTAAAGACTCTTCCGCCAGTAATCGCATAAAACTATCTTCTAGCTAATGAATCGTGACTTCATTAGTAGCATGATTTTACTCGCGTCGATTTTCTAAACTGCATCGGAAATTATTTATGACTCCATCTACTTGAAATGTAGCAACTAATTTAGGAATTTTTTTTTATCTAAATATTGATCTAACTTGGGACGGAGGGAGCATTTTTTTTAACATTTTTAAACTAAAATTATATTTACGTAACAGGTTTATCACATACGTCTTTTAAAATATGTAACAGTCATAGCGTCATAGCGATAAGTTGGTTTGATTTTCTTTTTACTTCTAAAATCACAACCCAGATATATCAGACCATAATTATTTCCCCGAAAAGGTAAGAGAGACATTTCTTTTATTATTCAAGGTTAGAAAATGAACATTTTAAACTGAAAATAATGAACAACATGTATAATTGAAAAACTTAGCAGCGTGAAATCTTAAATAAGTCACTTAAATATAACAGCGTTGTTCACTCAAGGTAAGACTACTTCGTCTTTGCATTATAACTAATATTTTTTTTAAAAATTAATATCTATAACCAGTTAAGCACGGAATTTAATTCTATAAAATCCCCACACGGTGAGAAATTAAAATCAAGCAATGACGTATTTGAAAGTCGAACATGAGGCCAGAATTCCTATAATATTTCTTTTTTTATAAATTTTTCTTTTATATAATATATAAAAGATTTTTTTAACAGTTTTATCATAAATTTAGAACTGTTCTTTTTATAATTTTTTTAAATTTTTTTATTAACAATATTCGAGTTTTTTAATAGTCAATGGTATTTTTTTACACAATAAGTAAACATATCAAACGAATCTCAATGGAGATTTGGTCTGACGTGTATAGACGTCAAACACACCACAATAGAGATCTGTTCCGGCGTGTATAGACGTCAAACACACAATAATAGAGATCTGGTCCGGCGTGTATAGACATCAAACGCACCACAATAGAGATCTGGTCCGGCGTGTATAGACGTCAAACGCATCACAATAGAGATCTGGTCCGGCGTGTATGGACGTCAAACACACCACAATAGAGATTGGTAAGACGTGTATATACGTCAAACGAGCTTAACTGGTTTAACTGTTTAGAAAATGTCGAAAAAAATACCAGGAAAGGTAGGCTTTTTATGGAATCTTAGAAACAGGTTTATCAAACATAAATTATCAAAATAATTTATGTATAGAAATAATGGTTACAAATATTTTCATGGTATGAAATCTATTGGTTGTCGTATTATCCTATTTGTATTATAATGATCATAAAATTAGAAGCGTTGAACTAGTTTTAACATTAAGAACACTTAAGCAATTATATCCGTAGTAGACTCAAGAAATTAATCTGGTTGTTCAAGTTCAATTAAAATAATTTAATTTAATTGGATTTATAGGAAAACAAATTGCGGTTTTTTGAGGCTTCTCTTGAGGAAAAATTTTATTTGCTGCTGTTTTGCAGAAATTTTATGACAAAAACATAAAGAATCTTAAAAAAAAAGTTAACTAGCCGAACTTGCAATTTCATGTTTTGCACTGAAGAAGCTATTTTTGTAAGAATTTAACTAACAAAAGTGAATTAAATGAACATTATTTGTTGAGTACTAGTTTCTAGATTTTTAGAATTAAGTACGACACAAAAATAACGAAATATTTTGTTTTGTTTTAAATGTTAGAGATCAAAAAGAATCATTTTTTTGAACATTTAGAAGAAAATTATCATTTAAGTGAAAATCAATTTTTCCCCATTATACAAAAATTCTAACCAAAACAGCTAAATGTTGCGCAAAATAGAAGCAAATTATATTTAAAAAAAATTTCCTTTTGAACTCAGAATAAAAGCAAAAGCCAGACAATTTGTTGGTTTAATTATATTCTCAATATTTCTACAAGACATAATCAATCTTTTTAATTTAATGATGAGGAAACTAAAATTCTTAACGCTCCAAATGCTAAGTATAACATATAACTACAGTTTAACGAATGAGAAACCAATCGATGTTATGCAGATTTAATTTTTTTCTAATTTATGAAATTAAATTGGAATTTTTTTTTTTTTATCCTCGAATATGAGAAAAATATACATGCTTTTTTTTTACATAATTCTTCTTTTATATGCCATGGGGAAATAAATCCAAATCAGCATAAAACAAACGGAAATAAATTGCATTTCTATACTAGAGCAGTTTAGACTAGTATTTTTGTTTCAATTGTGATAGTTACATTTAATCAGAAGTTGAAATATTATGAAAATATTTCGCTTTATTTTAAAACCTGATAGCAATCTAAATTTGAAAAACTCTTCTGAGACAAAGTGCAAATGATTTTTTTTGTTTGATGTAAAAAGACAAATAGATTTATAAAAACTAAGATATTAAAAGACATTAAAAATAGATTATGCAATGTCATATTTTATTCTCAGGTCTATTGCGGGCAGGATCGTAGGAAGTGTTTGGTGGTTTTTTACTCTTATAATTATTTCATCCTATACAGCCAACTTGGCGGCTTTTTTAACTGTAGAACGTATGGTTACTCCAATTAATTCAGCTGATGATTTAGCAAAACAAACAGAAGTTGAATATGGAACCCTAATGCACTCGTCGACACAGGAATTTTTCAGGGTAAGTATTTATCAAAGATAGATAATTATCAAGGGCATTCACATTTTCATTAAAAGGTTATTCCCAATTATGTCAATTGAAATCGCCACACGTATCACTGACAAAATCTTGGAATTTATTGATAAAACATTTCTATTGACTCACCTAGAAGTGGCCGTGATTTTTACACTTCAATTTTGCCTATCTTTTATGTTTTTACTTATTTTTAGTTTCTCGTGTGCTATTGCTGGATCTTGTAATATTTTGACGGACATTTTGATTGGGCACTGATACAGGATTCCCTTTATCTGAGATGATAGACACATTAATTAATAAATTATAAGTTTCGTAAGAAATAGATAGTTCAGTTGTAACAAAATTTATAAAATTCATGGACATAGCTTTGATATGAATAATACTAGTATGTTCTGCAATTACTTTTTACTACTGGTTAAAAGGTGATATTGGAAGAAAAAAATATGCACTCGGTCTTAATCGTTTTTCTAGTTATTGTTCTGATAGTTCAACATTTATCATGCCACCCCATGTAAAATACCGATTACAGTCACATTGTAAAAAAATTCCGAATCAATGTACGGTAAAAAGTACTGGCACTCTGAAAAACGATACATTTCACCGTAAAATCCATTCCAAAGAAAAAAATTTACGGAACAAAAGAAATCTGATGTACCGTAATTTCTACAGTAATATTTACAGAATCACTGAAATTAAATAAATATTACTGTAAAAATTACGGTATAAAATTTTACGGTGAAAATGGATTTTATGGAGGCTGCTCTGTGGGTATCAGAACTTTTTATTGCAATTTCATTTGAATTTTCTTACTGAGCAGTAGATACACTCTCAAATCTAATCAATCTCAACTCCCTGATATCGAATAAAATTTCTACAATTTAATTAAGTACCGTACCGTAATTTTCACAGTAATATTTACAGAATCACTGTAATTAAATAAATATTACTGTAAAAATTACAATATAAAATTTTACGGTGAAAATAGATTTCATGGAGGCTGCTCTCTGGGTACCAGAACTTTTTATTGCAATTTCATTTGAATTTTTTTTTTACTGAGCAGTAGATATACTCTCAAATCTAATCAATCTTAACTCCCTGATATCGAATAACATTTCTACAATTTAATTAAAGCTTTAAATCAAACCATTATGTTAAATTTGAGTACTTACAAAGCAATCAATACATATCTTATACAATATATTCGATGCAATGTATTCGATGCAATAGATGCAAGTTCAAGAATGATCAATATGCAAGATAAGATCGCTAATTTCTTATTACTGTATTAAAAATGCTGCAAAATTGATTTATCATTAGATAAAAAGTCATTCAGGGTGATCCGTTTATTTTTGGCACACTGTACAATATTAAAATAGGAGATAGTTTAGAAATAAAATAGAATTCGTTTTTCGTCAAACAAATTATGCAACAAAAATGTTTTTATCACTCCACTGCATTAAATTACTATCTATAGATAGAAAGGAAAATAACCTTTCTTCTTTAAAGTAAATAGAAGAATATATTTAGGTGCTCTGTGCGTACAGTTAAAAGAATTTTTCTTCCTGCTGCACCTTCCTGTCGTCTTATATTGTACTATTTTTCTCAAGGTGGGATTACTGTTAATCTAGAAATCTCACAGACTTCCCCCTGCAGATTTTCTTCCATTGCCATCAGATAGGAAAATGTCAGGAGTTTATTCTTCGTTGGAAGTCTTTGAGATGCTGAAAATAACACTCTTTAAGCGCACAAAATTGGAAAATTTATTCCCTTTATACTCCTTTGCACTAAATTGAAGTTTCTCAAATTCAGCCCTTCTCGAATCAAGAGATTTCTTTTCAGTTTTCAATCAGTTTTATTTTTTATTTTGTTTGCATGCTTCACTAGTTCATAATTCAAAATTATGTGTGCTGTTTCAAGCGCAAATTTGAAGAATTTGATATGTTTGTGCAAGTATACGTTGCGTAAAAAGAAATATTATGTTATATATTTTCATTTTCTAAGTTTATCTGTGGATTTTTTCGCACATAACTAAATGAATGAAATAAATTGCACGTATTGAAACAGGTTTACCAAAGATCTAGGGAATTTAAAATAGTGGTAGTAAATTTACGTTGATACTTGTAGGATATTTTTTGACCATCCCATTTTGAAATTTTGAGATATGGCAGCATATACTTCTTGTACATTTAACAAATTACTGCGCATTTGTCAGAAATGTGTTAAAATGCCGACGTTTATTTTGCTTTCGTCACCACTTTTTAAAAATTAAAAGACCTATCAAAAAACTTGGTAAGTATTATTTTACAATGCATTTAAATGTGTTTAATTTTTACGTATTTTATTCAACTAAGATCTGACTATAATGTAAAGAGCGCTTAATATTAAAACCTGCATACATTTTTATAAAAAAATTATTTTACTTATGCCTTTAGAAAAAGGCAAATTGTGAAACTAACTAGATTAGGTATTTTTTTTATAAATTGTCCTTTAACGTTACTTATATTCATATTCAATGTTTTATTTTAAATGTATCTAGAATTATCATAAATATCTTCTTTTTATTGCAAGTTTTAAATTCTCAACTAAAATATATATAATCTACTACTTAAGAAATCAACACGGTTACCACGATAAGAAAAAAATATTTAGTGATGTGAAATTTTTAATGAGACTGGCATAAATTTTAAAGGATTTAATTTAATTACTAAATAATAAAAAAATAGTTCTGTACTTCGAATTCCATGCAATTAAAAAAGAATATATATATATATATATAGCTTCTAACCGCCATGATGACCTTGGTCTACAAAGGGCTGTTGCGGAAATGATTTCCTTTTAACAAGAAATGATTCAGACAGTTAGTACTAAATCTAGAACTTGTGGTAATATATTAAAAAGCAATAGTTTCAACTTTTTCTGGAGAGAGTTTTATGTAAGCATTTACATGCATTTGTGTATTTTCCGTTAGTTGGAAACTACTGACACATGTAATAAATCTGCAGCAAATTTGATTCAAAAATATCATCTTTACAAAAGCACTGCTGATCATTTTACTGCAACAAACCTTTTAGTCGATACTTTTCTTTCCATTTAATTCCCAAAACAGCTTTATAAAATGGTTTAAAAAAATTTTTTTTATTGCAAAAAATTATTTGTATGGTTTAAATTGGCAAATGAATTTCCTTTTTTTTAATTTAAACCTTAACAGGTGAACATGACACGAAATTAATTTTAAGCAATAAAATATTTTACTTTATATACCATATCTTTTTTTAGTATGATAAATGTGAAAATTTAAGGTTTAATTTCATATTAAAAGCTACAAAGTGGGAAAATTCCTGTGTATGCCCGCATGTGGGAATTCATGAACTCCAGAAAACATGTATTTGTGCGCACCTATGAAGAAGGCATCCAAAGAGTTCGAGAATCAAAAGGAAAATATGCTTTTCTAATGGAATCAACCAAGAATGAATACATTAACGAACGAAAACCATGTGATACCATGAAAGTGGGAAGGAATTTAGATGCTAAAGGTTATGGTGTTGCAACACCCGTAGGATCAAACCTAAGGTAAATATTTCTTTCATGCATGAGAAAATAATTTTGCATATTGAACGATTTAACTAATTTATCAAACATTTTCTCAAAAGAAGTAGATAAAATTTATGAACTGAATTTTGAAACTAGATTTATGAATTAGGGATTGAATTTGAATGAGGTGTTACCTTAAGTGGAAACTTCATGTTTTCGAATTTTACTCGTTTATTATAATTTCTTTCATTTTATTTTTATTGTTTCTTTGTTGAACAAAATTTTATAACGCTTTAAAACTGCGTATCAATTTTTATACATGTAATATTCGTGGAATTCTTGAAACATCATGTATTTGATGAATTACTTTTAGACTGATAATGTTTATTTCTCTTAAATGAATGTATTTTAATTATGATGAGAATTATACAAATACGTGATTTCAAATCAATTGAAAAGTGTACACAAAAAACACAAACTTCTTAAAAATATCTTAAAATAAGCCCGCTTAAAAATGAGGCTAATTCACTTATTCTTTTTCAAAATTAAGTTTATTGAAAAATAACTTTCAAAAATTGCATATCAATTTTCATAAATGTATTATTCCATAAATTCTTGAATCCCCGTGTAATTGACGAATGCCTTTCAATCTGATTAGCGTTTATTTCTTTTAAAAGTGTATTTTTCATGTGAGAAGAATTTTACATACAAATAAATTGAATAAATTGAATAAATTTCAAATAAATTGAAAAATTCACAAAGAAACGCAAATTTATCAAAAATATTTAAAATAAGCCTGCTTAAAAATGAGACTAGTTCCCCTATTCTTATTCAGAAATATATTTATAAGAAAATGACATTTCAAAATTGCGCATCAATTTTAATATAGACATTATTCAACAAATTCTTGAATCACCATGTACATTAATAATGATTTTCAAGCTGATAATGTTTATTTCTTTTATTTAAATATATTTTTAATTATGATGAGAATTTTACTATTATGTGATCTTAAATAAATTGAAAAATGAAATTGGAAAAAAAATAAATTGAAAAATAAGCCAGCTTCAAAATGAGACTAATTCCCCCATTCTTATTCAGAAACATATTCATTAAAAAAATAACATTTCAAGATTGCGCATTAATTTTAAAATAGATATCATTCAACAAATTCTTGAATCACCATCTATTTTAAGAAAGATCTTCAAGCTGATAATATCTATTTCTCTTAAATAAATGTAATTTAATTAAGATAAGAATTTTACAAGTGAATGATTTTAAATAAACTAAAAAGAGCACAAAAATATAAAATTCAAAAAAATGTCTTAAAATAAGTCAGCTTAAAAATTAGACTAATTCCCCTATTCTTATTCGGAAATAAATTTATTCAAAATTTGGATACAAGTTTCGAAGTGAACTAAAATAAGCAAAAGCGAAATAGCAGAACCAAAAGATTTAATGCAAATGAGGTAAACACTTGATTCACATTTTCCTTTTATCTTCCATGTAACTAAAATTATTCAAAAATACAAAGATTGATCTAATGCAAACCAAGAAAATGTAATGCAGCATACACATTCTGTATTCAACTCAATCTTTCTTGGAAAAAAAATCCTCTTTTAAAAATTGCGAGAAATAATTCAACACCGCTATGAGCAAGAAAATTAGCATCCAATTTCTTCTTTTTCCCGCAATTTGAATGATTATACATTTCTTCTCATTTTTCATTCTGTTGAATATTAAAAGTTGAATATCATTTTCCCAAACTTCAATCTTTTTTTTATTCTACATATTTCAGGGACCGTTTAAATCTTGCTGTTTTGACAATGCTGGAAAATGGTGACTTGGCTCGCCTGGAAAATAAATGGTGGTACGATAGAAGTGAATGTAAAAATGGAGAATCTAAAGTAAGTTAAAAATGCTAAGAAAATTTATTCAAATATATTTATCAGCGTAAACAAAGTACAATGCAATTTTATTTTATATATTACAACATATTAAATAAAATAAAGAATAATTAAAATAAAATTTTAAAATTGTATTAAGGAAAGAATTCGAAATATTTAAAGCAAGAAGAGAATACAATACCAAATATAAAATACATAAAGCAAATACAAAAGTATGAACACAAGACAAATACATAAGAATAGTACCCGCAAAAGCTTACTTGAGACAAAAGTCCAATCACAAAATTACACTACTGACTGTGAGACATAACTAAATTGAAATAAACATAAGAACAACGCACCCTAATTTGCGCAGAAAACGAAAACAAAATTTATTATTTATAAAAATTTTATTATTTATACATTAATTAAATCAAATACAAATATTTTTTTTCATTTTTAGCACAAAGAAGACTTTTAAAGCACATTAGATTTCAGTATTGCTTTAACAAATTAGTTTTATGATTAGTCACTAATTCTGCGATGTAATCTGACTTTAATATATCTAAGACAAAATAGTACTTTAATCATTTCCTGTCCACTGATTTTACAGAGGTAAAAATTAAAAAAATACCTTTGCAAAAGTGAGAAATGTGTATTAAATTAATATAATAGTCCCCGAAAAATGAAATATACATCCTTATAAATTATAATTATTTCAATGAAATGTGGCCAGTTGAACTCAGCAATAGACTTTTTCTACCGGAATGAGATGTGCAGTACCTCTACTCTATGGATTCTCGCTCTCCCAGAAAATGAGCCCCAAACCGCAATGATTAAAGTACTGAGCTGCCATTGTTCGGGACAGAGGTTCTATCCCAGATGGTAGCTTGAATATTTGATTTCAATATATCTAAGAAAGTCGTAGTGCCTCAGGGGATAGAGCACTCGCCTTTCAAAGAGGTGAACTGAGTTCGAATCCCAGCGATGCCTTATAGCCGTAGGTAACTGCTTGTGTGGGAAGTGAAATCGATTGGTGAGTAATGTTGACCAAACTGCTCCTATCCTGTTGCTGTTTGAAAAATTGAGGAGCCTTAACATCTATAACCACCCTCGCACATAGTGGCAGTTGATGATATGCTTTCCCGTACACTCCCGGAAAAACCAGTTCATTGTTCAATCATGATAAGGTACAGCTATTTTACAATCTTAATAGCGTCTTGAATTGAACCATGTTCCCATTCAGTTTGAAGAAAAATATAGTGTAATCAAGGGAAAAATGCATGATAATATGGTTTAAAATAGCACAACTCTAAGGTTACCACTAATTTAAATAACATAACGGTTAATCAAACCTTCTAACAATGAGAGTAATACTTCACCAAAACAAGAACAGTATTAATTCAGCAAAAACATTTAATATAAAATATTTATTTTTTCACATTTCTGATATTCGTTTGCTCACTTTTGTCCATACCTTTGCTTAACCAATTCTATGAAAAGTTTCATTACACAAGTTTCATTCACTCAATTTAAAGCATTACTTAAAATTAAATAATATTTTTTGAAATTCTTGAAATAATATTTCTAAAAAAATATTTTTAAAACTGCAATAAATGAAATTAAGTAATCGAAAAGTAATTTGAAATAAAATTTTCAGGATTGAAACAGTCTGTAAATTGTTCCAAATTTAGGTAATGTTAAAATAGATAATGTGAACTAACTTTTCCCATACAACCTAAAATATAAAAATATTTTAAAAATTACTTTCTAAGACATCAACGATAAGTTGTTACCGAATATTGACGCATACAAAATTTATTTTTATAACATTTGCTTTTTATTTTCTCCTAAGCAATATTCTGAAAACAGCTGGTTTATTTTCGAAGAATTCTTCGTATGTATGTTATTCTTTCAAGCTGTTAAGCAGTTAATAATGTTTGCTAGATTATATTAAATTCCAGGTACTGATATTCTCTTTTCTCTTGAAAACTAGTATTCAGATTTTTATTCCAGAAACATTTTCAATTAGTTACATATTTTCTTTTTAATTTTTGTTTCAAACATATAATGTTATGAATCAATTTATTCTTATGTAATTAATATTCTCCTTTGCTTTTTTCATCATACATGTTTTAAACTTAACATTTATCAAACCTAAAATATGCAATACTTTTATTGGATTATATTAACTATTATATTAATTAACTCATGTTATTATTATCGATTAGTCATTAAATCTTAGAAGGCATATTTAGCACGCTTTAAAATTGTTCCAAGGAATCATGACCTCTACCCATAGAAAAAAATGCCTGATCATGTTTTTAGTTTAAGTAAAAACTACGACTAATGTCTTTCTGTACACTTGAAAAAGTAGTACCATATGATTCGTTCCAAGAATTGCACAAATCTAATTTGACTGAGAAGCCAAATAATAAAGTACGTACTTGGTTGGCGTCGCTGTAGAACTGCACAATGAGATATTGGCGACGGTCAGGGAAACATCCCTGAGGATGATCCGAAAACATTCCATCGCAATTTTGATCCTTTGCAAAGAGGATGGCTCGCCTGCTTTGGTAGCCCGATGACCTGCAAGCGGAGTCGAGCACTTTACGGTAGAACAGTTAAAGGAGGACCAATACCACCCACCCTTGGACACTACCCAGGCTGATCAAAGTTGTCACACACCTGCTTACTGACCAATGAATTGTGATTTGTTCTGTTTGAGATCTAATGCACATTGTCCTCACGCTGTGCACTGAATTTATTGAAGCAACTTTGACTACATAGACTTATATGTAAACTTTTAGTTGGCTTCTGGTGTCACTGTTGCAGACGATTCAGGGCTTATTGAATCATTTAACATTTCATTGTTCGAAGCTGAACCATTTCTTAGAATTGGCAATAGCGGTCCTTCGCCTTTTAGAACGACGATCTTTTATTTTCCTCCTCTTTGAAGATAACATATCCATGATTAAAAAGTAAATGAAGAAATAAAATATGAAAATAAAAAATTAGCAATAATAAAATAAACAAATGTAAACTTTAAAAATATAATTAGCTTTGAAAAAACCTGTTTGTTTTATTATTGAAAGTGTGATAAATATCACATAAAAATATCAAAACTAACGCATTGAAAACGCAAACAAACAAATGCAGTTAGGAAATCAAAACAATTCAGACACGGTTAGGATACTGTTTCAAACAAACTTTTCGTGTCAATAATTAAATTTTGAAAATCCTTTCAATAAAATGATATGAATTCAAACTTACTGGTTGGTAAAAACACTTCTGTGCTTCAGTTTCGCTTCGTGTTGGAAAACGCAAATAAAGAGACGTGGTTTAAATGAAGATAACGAAACTAGCTCATAAGTCCTCAAAAATGTAATCAAAATTCAAAAAAATATATATATTTTAAAGGGTATAAAGTAATCAACACTTTATCGAAATGCGCCAAAAATAAAAAATTTAAAATTTCATCTATTTTTTTCTATTTTGAAGGTCTACCGCAGCCTTAAGGAAATTCTTACCTCAATTTCATACGTGTGAAGAAGTTAGTGAAGACGATTGAAATATTTATAAAAATTAATCTTTTCATTCATAAAAATAAATATATTTCATATTTGTTAATGACAATTTTTATAATTTAAATAGTCTTAGTCTTTTTTTTTTCATTTCTTTTTATTTACTATTAATTTCTCAAAAAAAAATACTTTTGAAAAACAATTTAAAATAAATCAATCAAAATAAACATAAAAATAATTACAACACATGACCAATCGATACACAAGCTCAAAAAAGCAACATAAAATTCCAAAACTTCTTAAAATATTTTTCAGTCAAACTCGAAAAATAATCAATTCGTAAGCAGAAACACTTTTTCCATCGAATCTTTCAGAAAAAAATGGCCTGGAAGTACTTAAACTTCTTTTAATAGAACACGTACAGGTCATAATCCCTATCTTAGAAAGTTTCAACTAAGTCGCTTTAGAGAAGAAGAATTCGCAAATTTTCTGGAAAGAGCAGTTTTGGAAGTTCGGTGGGTTATGACATATAAAGTTCAATATGTCTTATTTGAAGGAACATGCGTAAAGGTAAATTGGTCCCAATAGTGTGGATGTAAACGATTTCATGACTGAAAAGCTTTTTGCGCTCATTTTATGGATAAAGTGTTTCAAGAATCGTGTTTTATAATATTTTTGGTTATTTGTTCCCAATATTTTCTTCATTTTAGTACGAAAGATTCTACATTTTATTCGTTCATGTATGAGAACTATTTTTATTGAAAAACTAATCGAAAGCAATTATTTAATACTTAATAAACCAGTTTTTGATCAGAAACCAGATGTTGCCGTTTTCATCACTGTAAAAATTTATGCCTTCACTATAAAAAATGGATGCTCAAATAGATAGAAAAAGTTTATTCGTTTTTGACAAAACTATTTAGTGGTATATTCTCCAATCCAAAATTTCGTTACAGATATGACATAAATATAACTAATAATAACTTTTCGAGGAAATAATAAATTTTTCGAGGAAACGAATTTCGTCAAAATTCTCGTTAACAATTTCCCACAATGCCTGGCATTGAAGTTAAGAGATGAGGAAACATTTTCGTCATATATTTTAAACATTATATCACACAAATCACGTTATTTCTTGATGAAATGATTCTCAAAAATTAACGAAATACAGCTAAAGGCTTGCTGAGTCATCAAAAGTGAGTTTTATTTTTGAGAGTGCACTGACCATGACTCTCTTGAGAAAACATTGTTTAATGTCAAATTTGCAAATTTTGCAACTCTGATGAAGAAATGGATGCATAAACTTTTAACTGTTGTCAATACTGTCTTAAATAACCATTGTCTAAATACCAATTTTTAAATAAATTTCTTTAGAGAAGAAGAAATTTCAAATTTTCTGTAAAAAGCAGTTTTGGAAGTTCGGTGTGTCATAACTTATAAAATGCAATATGCCTTGTTTGAGGGTAATACACTATCTAGCCATTAATGACCGAACACCCCTGGAACGGCAGTTGGACTCGTCCTGGCGGAATAAATACGGAACCTGTGGTGGGGGAATGACCATTCGCAAGCAGGCGACGGCCATACGAGCGTTAACAGTGAAAATGAGTAGCTGGCGAGAGCTGAATGAGGCGGAAAGGGGCATGATCATAGGCGCTCACCGATTTGGTCATTCCATACGTGTCATCTCCGACAAGTTTCAGATACCACGGTCAACAGTTGGTGACGTCGTGTTGAAATGGGAACGAGAGGGAGAGATAAAACCGCTGCCCCGACCCGGCATGCCCAAAATAATGTCCGACAGGGATCGACGATCTCTTCGACGTGTAGTGAAGGCAAACCGACAAATGTCGTTGGACACTGTCGCTACCAACTTCCGGGCTGCATCTGGCAGTGTTGCCAGTACACGTACCATTCGTCGGGAGCTGATTGCACAAGGATTCCATGGACGAGCAGCAGCACATAAGCCAAACATCTCTCCATCAAACGCCCGCCACCGATTTTAGTGGTGCAGAGCACGTCGCCAGTGGACAGAAGAGCAATGGAAAAGCGTTATGCGGAGTGATGAGTCACGCTACATGCTGTGGCACTCTGATAGACGGCTGTGGACCTGGCGAATGCCCGGAGAACGGTACCTACCGGAGTGCATTGTCCCCAATGTGAAGTTCGGCGGTGGAGGAATTATGGTGTGGTCCTGTTTCTCATAGTTTGGCCTTGGACCTTTGGTGTTAGTGCATGAAACCCTGAACGAAAAAGGGTATAGAGACATCCTGGACAATTCGCTGCTTCCCACCTTGTGGCAACAATTCGGNACCGGAGTGCATTGTCCCCACTGTGAAGTTCGGCGGTGGAGGAATTATGGTGTGGTCCTGTTTCTCATGGTTTGGCCTTGGACCTTTGGTGTTAGTGCATGGAACCCTGAACGAAAAAGGGTATAGAAACATCCTGGACGATTCGGCGCTTCCCACCTTGTGGCAACAGTTCGGTAATGGCCAGTTTGTGTTTCAACACGATAACGCTGCTATTCATAAAGCACATGCCATCACGGACTGGTTTGATGAAATGGGGGTGCAAGTGCATGACTGGCCATCCCAAAGTCCCGACATCAATCCAATTGAGCATCTCTGGGATGAGTTGGAGCTCCGGTTGAGGGCCGGACCACAACGTCCCAAAACCACCATTCAAGTCATCGCCATGTTACAGGAGGAATGGCGGGCAATACCTGCCGCCGTGTACCAACACCTAATGGATAGCCTTCCTAGAAGGGTTAAAGCTGTGATTCGGGCGTGTGGCGGCCCTACGCCCTACTGACTTCATACTAGCACCTCATGTATCCGAAATGAGGGGTGTCCGGTCATTAATGGCTAGATAGTGTATGTTGTATTTGATCAGTGTAAAAGAAGATTGTTGCCAATACTGCAGACATAAACAGTTAACTAACTGATTCTATATTATTTTTCATAGGAGTACAAAAGCAGAAGCATACAAATAAATCCCCTTTATTGATAACCAATATCAATTAAAGAATATTTTTAGCAATTTTATATAACGCTTCAATTGTTGCCCTTCATCTGGCTTTTGGCCAAAAATTAAGGCATCTGTATCTATTAAACATAGTCAACCCCTTTTAGGGAAGAAAAATATGAACCAAAATTTTAATCAAGAGATAAAATATCAACCAAAATTTTAATTAAGAATCATGGTCATCTCTATCAAATCCGGAATGAAGCAATCGAAGTAATTATATTTAAAAGTTTATAAAGTTTTATTAAAATCTCATAATTTTAAAAAAAAACTATTATAATTTCAGTATTTTAATTTATTGCCAGTAAATGCCACAAACTTAGTTGGATAAACATCACCAAACTATGATATCATTAATCTTCTATCAGGGATGAAGATAATCTAAAAATATCATTTATTTTGAGACAAGAAACAACTTGAACAAGAATTAAAATGTAATATTTTCTTAAGGAACTAGAACTTCAGGTATGGTAAGATGCAGAAATTAAAAGAAAATAGACTTGCAATCGCTTAAGAAGAATGAGATGTTCGAAAAATGATTCATTAATTTAATATTTTTATTTCAAAGTATAAAATGATATGCAGAAATGTTGGTTAGTGGTTAGAGGAGCAATGATCTATTAGTTTATCAAAGAAAAACACAAAAATCTTACTAGACACTTACTATCATTCAGTGTCTTTATTAGAACATACATTTTAAGATATAAAATCAAAGTTAAAGGGTGCGTTTTGTTTGGCTAATGTATGCAAAATCACAATGACAAAATATTTGGTAAATACCCCAGTAATTAATGTCAGCAATGGAGTATTTAAGGTTGAAGTTTGTAAGCAGAAGAAAAAAAATTTTAAGGTCAAACTTATTCGAAATTGCAATAATTCGAGTAATGTTTGTGGGATAATATAAAACAATAAAATTAAAGCTCTGATTATCGAGTATATTGGCTTGCGTGATTTATTTTCCATAGTTAGAATCAAATCCTTTAGAAGGAAATCCATGATGAACAGCAATATCTTCCCGGTAAGAAACACTATTTTGTGAAAAATACTATTAGAACTCACTTCAGAGGTACAATGCACAAAGTAAAAAATATCACACCCTGACCAACTTTCGATCTAATAATAGGATCTTCACGTTTTAAGACTCAATCTTAATGGTTCGAAAGGGTGACCTCAATTGTACTAATTAATTAGTACAGACGATATTTTAAATTACGAAATCAGACACAAAAACGTTCTTTCTCTGAATAAACATATCATTTTTAAGATCGATTTGGGTTTCTGACACTCAAGATATAGGGGGTAGCCGCAATCTGTGAAATATGGTCCCAATAGTTTAGTCAAGAGAGCGGTCCAAAGTTTGGATCCCTTAATGTTAATTTTACTTTTTGTGTATTTCGCCATATTTCGAGAAGTTTTTAAGCGAATTGAAAAATGTTTGCACTCAATTATAAAATTCATTTAGCCAGAGATAACTTCATGCAAAAAATAAATTTTTACTATTTTAGAATATTAATTATTTTTTTTAATAATAGTCGAAGAAATTTTCAATCTCAAGTTACACAATTTTTTGCATCATTTTAAAAAATATTATTTTTTTACAAAATAAAATTTCAATATTAACACATTATTTTTACAAAATAAAAAAAATTTTGCTAAATCGAGTGAATAGTTTTTGAGAAATAGAATTTTTAAAATACGTCTTCTTCAACATATAATGTTTTTCTAACTGATTACGCAACTTAAAATATCTTATTCAAAAATTAATTAGCAGATTTGAGGTCATCCCCTCGAACCATTAAGATTGAGTCCTAAAACCTGAAGATCCGATCATTAGATGAAAAGTTATTCAAGAAGGTTAAATTTTTATTTTGCGCACTATACGTTGTTTTCCGTGAGATTACTTAGAGGTAAGATATGTTCAAAACCAAGCTAGTATTAAATTATTCCAATGGCCATACATAGCTGGTTTTAAAATCAAACATTTGAGCCTTAATCTCTTAAAATCAAACACTGTTCTTTAGCAACGGATCTAGATTTCTGGGAGTTATTTTGAATTTTAAAAAAATTCTATTAATTAAAGTCCCGTTCTTTTCAAATGTTCAGAAGACTATTTTCCTTTGATTTCTACCTCTTGAAATGTCTGGGATTCTCACCCTCTCCCCACCCCTCTCTTTTCGTTATCCCCTTCTTTTTCATCATTATCTTTTTCCACACGGTTTATCAGACCTACAAATGAATCCTCGCTTCTTGTTTGTCTCAGGTTTGTAATTTTTCCGTGTCCCTGCGTTTCGCCCTTTCATTTCATTCCGTACTTTGAAACTGTAGGTGGTTTTATTACTGAACCAAACTCTTTATTTCGTCTGTACATACGACAATGTTCGTCCTCAATTCAGATTTAGTTTTATTCAAACAAGTATATTATTTAAAAGTAACAACAAAAAGCTAATGGTTTAGTAAAACATTAACATATTTTCACAATTAATTGACTTAACAAAGGACGAATTAAAAAAATCATTTATCACTGTTGTGTTATAAAATTATTTTTATTTCATATTTTTCATTCAATTAGCAATGTGTTAAAAATTATACAATATTTTTTTAGGAATCTTCTCAAAACGAATTAACTCTAAGCAATGTTGCTGGTTGTTTTTACATATTAATTGGAGGATGTGCTCTAGCTCTAATGGTTTCTTTCCTTGAATTTTGTTACAAGTCAAAAGTAGAAGCTAACAGAACTAAGGTAGTGTATGATTAATTAAATACTTATAGATAGAGGGAGTAAAATAATCAAAGAAAACTATCAATAAAATGTGCTGAAATGTTCTAAAAGCTGTTGTTGCGCTTGAAACCTATGTCATAATTATTTATTTGCTAAAAACGCGCAAACACAGCATATGAAACATTTACAAAAGTGGTGTACTAAAAAAACTAATGGAAAGTTTAGTTTAACAACAAAATATTTTGATATAACATTTAAAAAAAAACACATATTAAATTCATATATTTTTATACAATAATGATTTATTATTAAAAAAAATTTTAAAAAATTCTTCCACTGTGATTTTCTTAAAGTTAAGATTTTCTTTATTCGACACACAAGCTATAGAAGAATGCACGCTACATTTAAGGCAACTTTGTGTGAATTGAAGAGATGAAAATATTTTAAATTCTCAAGATTTGTGTAATCAGTAAATAGACAAAATTTTTTATCTGGCAAAAGGATGAAATCACGACAATATATATATATATATNAACTGTCTTACATAAAACACAATTAAATTCGTCTTTCAAATATTTGGTTCTGTTTTATATATGTTACCGGCAAAGTATGAAACGGCGGCATTGTATAGAATGCCGGATGTTTTTAGGCAAAGTATGAAATGTGAGAAGTATTACATACTTTCCCTAAACATTGTATAAAATGCCTAGGCATTCTATAGAATGCCAAATGCTTTTTAGGCAAAGTAGGAAATAGACGTCCTGATGAGGTTATTATGCAAATGATGTGCATGTTACTGTGAACGACCGAAATCGGTGGTTGTTGACATTCACCGGTGAATGTTGACAATCACATAGTCACTTTGGTGAATGTCCGAAATATTTATTACATCCGATTTGATATTAATTTATTCGTGGATATAATTACATTTATTGGATATTTTAATACTTACTGACGATAGAATAGAAGAAACATCAGTGTTTGGAGTATTGGGCAAATCTATACCGGACAATTGCACTTGACCTTAAAAAAAAAAAAAAAAAAAAAAAAAAAAAAAAAAAAAAAAAAAAATTTTTTTTTTTTTNAAAAAAAAACATCAGTGTAGGATATACCGGGCAAATGTATACCGAACAATGGCACTTAACTAGACCTAGTATGACTAGATCTTCGGTAAATGTCCGAAATATATACTAGGTCAAGTGTCACTGCCCGGTATACATTTGCCCGGCGTATCCTACACTAATGTTTTTTTTAAGGTCAAGTGCCATTTCCCGGTATACATTTGACCAGTATACCATAAACTGAGGTTTTTTGAAGGTTCAGTGCCACGGCCCGGTATGCATTTGCCCGGTATACCCTACACTGATGTTTTTTAAGGTCAAGTGCCACTGCCCGGTATACATTTTCCCGGTATACCCTACACTAATATTTTTTTAGGGTTCAGTACCACTGTCCGGTATACATTTGCCCGGTATGCCCTACACTGATATTTTTTAAGGTCCACTGCCATTGCCAGGTATATATTTGCCCGATACTCCCAACACTGATGTTTCTTCGAATCTATCGTCAGTAAGTATTAAAAAATCGAATAAATGTAATCTATCGTCAGTAAGTATTAAAATATCGAATAAATGTAATTATACCCACGAATAAATTAATATAAAATCGGATGACGTTTTGAATTTGTCATTTTTGAATGACATTTTGACGAATCGGAGATGTATTTTATACTTTCCCGGTAACAAATATATATATATATATATATATTCAACTGTTAAAAAATTCCTTTTATTATGAGCACTCATTTTAAAAAACAATTAACAAGTGAGCTAATGTATAAATAATAATAAAATCTACATATGATTATTAATTTGCTATAATTTTTGGAAACAAATGTGGTCGCTGTGAGAAAACACTTATTTAAACATCATAAATATATTGCATGTGAATTTTTTCAGAACAATATTTTCAAAACAATATTTTCAAATTAACTAAGAAAGTGGAATAATGAATAAATTAACAATTGCTTACTTGAATTAACCGAATTTTTTAATTCTTAATTTCTTTCACAGTGACTCATAAGCAAAAGTATTAAATAAAGTACATCTTTTTCAGGTTTCATTTTGTGAGGTAATGCTTAGCAAACTACATACATCCGTTACTGGAGAATCTGATCTTAACCACGCCAGGGTACGGACCAGCTCTTTTTGATTGGTACTTAGTTCTTCATATAATAGATATTTAAATCATATACACTCCAAATATTTCAAAAATACAGTAGTAATATCTAAAAATATTTAAATGACTGTTTTTTTTATTCACCCCTAATGAACAGCATATCTATTTCGTGTATTTATCCCAATTACGTTCTCAAATGCATTCTTGCAATTTTGAACCTAACTGAAGATATAACATCTTGAGTTAACCCCTTAACGATCGGTTAATTTTCAAGATAACTGTCATAAAAGTGCATATTTTTTAATACACGTTTAGTGTATAATTATTTGATTAGTGCTGACATCTAGTTTAAAATAAACTAACTATCGACAATTATCTTAAAAATATCCTGGTACTGCCATCTGGTGTGTGAAATGAGAAATAAAATGTTTTCCGGTCAAAAGAAATGAATTAGTTTTATTCTTATTGGCACGTTACTATTGAATACTCCCTCCCGGAAATATAACGGGAGCGAGAAATAGAGGGCGAAACCTCACCCCATCATTTTCACAGGAACGAGTTAAGTAAAGAGACAAACTCGTCTGTAAAAAATTTCCGAGTTAAACAAATTTGTATTTGTCTGCATAGGCTCTTATTGTTCGATTTTCGTATCCAAATAACTTTCGAGCCAGGTTTAGCTAGAGAACAATTGGAGTCCTATGATTCACCTAGCCCTTGAATAAATGAAGAGTGATTAATTTAACAGTTTAGTGCGAAGAGTTAGAAAGTACAATATAAAGACAATTTACGAATCAGAAAGGTATCACAAGAAACCTTAGATAAATCGAGAAAAAAAGTGATCTATTTATCAAGCTTACCCGCCCAATAAAGGACAATCGTCAGTTTTAACTGATAGTATGGATTACAGTGAGCAAGCATACTAAATGGTATTTAGCTTTCAAGAACCTAGTCAAATTTTTGAATTATGCAAGCCAAATTTAAATGTACATGTCGCCCTAAACCTACACTAATATGCTATTTCAAAGATTTAGGATTCATCGTAAATATTAACCACGCTATAATATTGGCGTGTTATACTGCACAGAGGGATTGAAATTTATTACTGTTAACAATCAAACCGGATTTTGTTTACTTAAGCCATTTCATTAAAAATGCGACAGTTAAGAATTCTCTGTCATCACACGTTGTCTATTTAGAATTGAAAGCAAAGGGGGGCTTTTCGAAACAACGCTGTTTCGATACAATTTTTCTTAACCACCTAATAGATCATATCATGGAATTTTTAAGCTTTGAAATCCTTGGGGACATTGCAAATTGATTTTGAACCAATAAGACACAATCGGAGAAATTACAATATTTTCAGACATTCAGCTTACTATCTTGTTAGACAACCAGTTGAAATGGATAAATAATGATAGACATGATGACTTTGCCAGATCTTCAATGTAAACGGCATGAACTGAAACCACGATTTTTCTTTAAACAAATGAATTTACATTTGAACTACGACAAATTAAGAAAAAAACAAGAAATAAGGAAGGCAAAAGAATATTTGACAAAACATATAAATGTTTGCAGCTATTTATAATTTTTGATCATTTTAAAAAAATAATAAAAACACTTCCTCACATTAAGTCAATCCTCACATTCTTGTATTTGTATACAAGAAGTTTCATTCTCTTTGAAACTTTTTTGCTAGTCTAATTTTTATTTTTATTTTGAATAGTAAGGCTACATATTAGACCGTGATAAATTGATAAATTTCATGTTTTGGTTGGAGTATCAGATTCCTTCAAGAATGAGACCACAAGCCAAAACTACATAGATTTGAGTATTTCATTTTTTTTTTAAATTTCAGTTTTAAGTTGGCGCATCAGATTTCAGCAAGAAAGGTCACAAGCCAAAAGTACATAAATTTGAGTGCTTCATTTTTTTACATATTTATTTATTTATTTGAATTTCAGTTTTTAGTTGTCACATCAGATTCCAGCAGGATTAAGGTCACAAGCCAAAAAGTGCATGGATTTGAATGGTTCATTTTTTTTATTTAAGTTTATTCAAATCGGACTAAGTTACAAAACTCCTTATAAAGGTGCATGTTGGACTGATTTTTTATTCTAAACTCTCCGGGTCTCAATGTCACTTTAACAATAAACTTTATAATCAGTGTCTGTTCTTTGAGTTGCATCTTTTTTCCAGTCAGGGAAAGTGAAATTGCATGTCTGTTACGCGGTATTTTCCACCATCTCGAATTTTAAAATGTTTATATAATAAATAATCCGACTTAGTTTACTACTGGCATCCCGGTTGCAGTAACTTAATGATAATGAAGCAGATCTCTAATTTATTTGTAAAAATAATGCCAGAAGAACCTGGTGAAATAATATATTTGTTGGCAGTGTAATCCGGGGAAATATGGAACGCGTTTTTTTATTTTGAATAATGCAATACGTCTTTGGAAAAAACTTTTTTTTCCTAAAATGCCCCTGAAAGATTTTATAAGTTAAAACCTTTTTTTTTCATAACTATATGTTTTTTTAATATAATTTTCCAATGCCCACCTGGAGAATGACCTTTCGGCACACAGACATCTGAAGGGCAGTTTTGTTGGCCACTCTTTCAGGGGCACCATATTAGGCGGGCCAACGCTGCTCCCACATTAATGACAGATAGTATAGAGAAGGAGAAAACAAAGCATCCATGCATTGCCCGTGATTTGAACCCAGAATACTTTTTTAAAAATATTATCCACATATCTGTAAAGGTAATTCACGAAATAAATTGCATTAAATAGAGATTTGTAGCTGCACGGCTACAGAAGTTTTGGTAAAATTACCGTCTTGTACGGTAATGACATTTCTTTTTAATAAAACCAAAATATACGGTTTTTCAATCATTCCTTAGGTAATTTATCCGCTCATCTGGTAAAGGTTTATCGCAAATTCAGGTTTACAAGAACATAGTTCTTAATTCCATACAGTAGGTAAAGAATACAAAATTGAAAAGTAAATTTAATCAAATATATTTTTTCATACAATTCTCTAAGGTATCACGATAATATTACCATATTTTATAACATTTTCCAAAATTATTTCATATTATGAAAGCATGTTTTATTGTTCTTTCTGAAAAAAACCAATTCGTTTCAGTAAAAATTACCGAGCTTTAAATATTCCTTAAGAGCCAGAAACACAGTAAACTTTACTATATTCTAATTGTTTTAACCATATTTTTTCCTCAGTTTGAAAATCAGTTAATAATGCCAAAATAAATCACCATTAAATAATCTAGTATTTATTTTAAAAGCAACAAAAAAACGTTTAGTTTCTTAGTAATGGTGCTAAACAATTGAAGTGATTAAATAAATTATTTTTTAAAGAGTTTATTTTAATTTGGAGCACAAATGGAAAGCAATTTCATTATAATGTATCGATATTTTCCTATGCTCGAAAAATGACATTAGTTATCACGAAAAAGCTAATTATTATATTTTTCATTTTCTTTTTTCAGTTTTACCAAGCTGCAACACAATTGATAACAGCTGAAGGTTTATCAGATCAACCCAGCTCAAATACCCATACTCAAGTGTGAAGAAAGCTTAAAATGCGCTAAAAATGTTATCACTGCAAAATGAATCCTAAATGAATAATTTCAGTAACCTAGGATTTATATCAAGAGAAAAGTGTCAAATGAAAGTGACAAAAAAGAAGTGTTATTTTTTTAAAGATTTCTTCAATATATGGGTTATTAGAAGAATCAAATTGATATTATTATTAAAATTTTGCAAATTTAACTTTTCAGCTGAAAATTCTTACTAAATTAATACAGCTGATATACGTATGAAAATATCATGCATAAAATACTATTGAATTAAGGAAAAGATGCTATATCAGCGTTAGTTATTTATTTTTCGTTCAAATAAAAGCACTTCTTTTATTCTACCAAACACATAAAAGTAACACGAAGCAACATTTTGTCTTATTTCACTGTATTTGAAAAACATAATTTATCAATTTTCGTAAAACTTCACCTTCCAAACAAATCTCATTTTTTTTGCTAAAATGTATAAAGTAATGTTATTTTTAATGTACCTGTTGAATTAAAATATAAAGTTAGTGAGATCAATAGAAATAAATTTTTAATTAATAACTTTATCAATATATTAAAAATCATTGAAAATCATAGAAACATAATTGAAAAGATGCTCACATAAATAGGTTGACTTATCGAAAATAGCAATTCAATTCATTCTAGTATTAACAAAATAAACTTCTTATTGCTCATTTAGGATTTTTGTAAAATTTAAACATAAAGCAATTCTCATTCCCTGAGCAGTTTTATCTGATTCAAATTATGATAAAATAAAAGCTTAAATAGTAGCGCAAATGTGGTTAAGTACTGAAATCATAAAACTTCAGTAAAAGTTTTATGATTTAACGACGAAAATAAAAAATAAACTTTAAAAAGACTTCAAAAGCATCGAAAAATATTTCATGTTATATTTATTGCTTTTTCACAAATGCATAGTAAAAACAAGTCAATGATGAAAAAAAACATATTTCATATTCGATTATAGTAAAAAAAAAGATTATTACCTATTTTTCTTTTAAAATTGATGCGTAATTTTAGTTGTAATTTTCTCTGACAAATTAATCCGTTTAAATTTTTTTATTAAAATGAACTAAAAGAGTTCTTAACAAGTAAATTTAGCCAGACGAGCAAATAATGAACGCCAACTCACTAAACCATATCTTCTGTTTTATGACTGAAGCAAAAACGATGACCTAGCTGCGAAGAGTGTCGTAAAAAACCGAATCAATATTTTCCTCACATTCATCGAGTAAAGCTCCCAAAGACGAAAAAGCAATAGTGCTACTCTATAAACTTAGAAACACACCAGCGCAAAATAAGAGAAAATGTTACGAGCATTTATTATAATAGAAGACTGGATTTATCTAATACACACAATCTTTTTTATGAATACTTTATATCCGGCTAGATTTTGAGAACCTATTTTGATTTCATGCTATAAGTTTTTATTTTGATTAAATTTTGCTTTCATAAACTTCTACAATAGGATTTTATTGCCAGAGTTTGAGCCTGGATTAAAATGAAATCATTTGGATTACTTCCTTGTATTCTTAAGAATTCGCTTTCTTATCTTTTCTGTTGTTTTTCCTTAAGCACAAACTAAAACTTATTGTCTATTTTTATTAACAATAATATTTCAATTATTATGATAAAAATTAATATTTTAGAAATATTTGTTTTGTTCAATTTAACTTCATTTTTATTGTTGTATACCAAATTGCATTGCAAACCAAAAATGCGCTTTATGTTGTTTTATGTTACGAATTGAATTGCTATAAGATTACAACTCGTTAATTTTTTTCTAAAACTATTGTAGCTTCTTTTTATGCTTTAATGCCTTAAAATGCATGTTGCTAGAAATCAAAATGTAAAATGAAATAAAAATTATGATGAAAAAATGATCATAGAAATTTTAAATTTATTTTCGAATTTGTTCAAAAAACTATCATCTCCTTATTTCTCGTATGTTGTTTTAAGGAATTCTGTAAGAAATAATAATAATTTTAAAAAATAGAATCAGAAATGCGTAAGAAAGACATTTAAAAAACATAAAATAGGAGAAAAACTCTTATATTCAAAATAATAATTGAAAAACATATTAAACTAATATGTTAAATTGAAAAGAATGTTAATAAAAAAAACATCGAAATTGCATAGTACAAAAATCATTCGAAACATTCATTCGAAGCATTCGAAGAGGAAAAAGCTTATATTACGTGCTATGCTTTCATTAGACTTTAAGTTCTTAAATCTAGAAATACTAATGTTTTTGAAACACCTTTAATATGTTTTTCGAGGAAGTTTTCAAGTTTAAGTACTGGGGTATCAGAAAGTAATGTCGTTTCCGATCATTTTGATTTTGTTTCTTCTTTTTTTTTTTCTAATTAATTTTTTTTCTTCTTTCTTTTTCAAATTAATAGCTCATTGTGTTCTTCAAATTCGTAAAAATTCATTTTGAGGTACGAATGACTTGTTGACTCAAAACAACTAAATCTTATTTTTTTTTCTGCAGTTGAAGGTATAATGGTCTATCAAATATCAGAAGAAAGTACATAGAGGTACGCAAGGGAGTCACAAGTTACAGTTGTTACTAAAATCATTTGAGATGCTTATCCAAGTGCATTAGTCGTTCGTAAATGCGCTAATTTTTTAAGTTCAATTCCGGTTTCGATCTATCCAACTCGTATCGATCTGAAGAACCAAACCCTGTAAAATGTTACTGAATTAAAGTGGAAGGCATTACCTCACCCACCATGTTCACCCGATATTGCGCCTATGGATTAGTTGGCAAAAAGCGTGAAAGTGTCGTTAGAGTCCAAAATGCCATCTCCAGATATTAATTTTTAGTGATCCAGCGTTGGAAATGTGCTCTTTGAATGGCTTATGTGTGTATGGTAATTACATTATCACTGAAAAGTAGAAGTTTGTTTGAAATTTATTTGTTGTATTTAATGTATAAAAAACGTCATTACTTTCCGGCACCCCTAATAATTTCTAGCATGAAAAAGGCAAACTACTTTCTATCCAAACAGTAATAAAATAATTAGAAATAATATCTGCTATGTATTAATCTTAATTTTTCTAGTGTAAATATTTAAGTTATATCTTAAATGTAACAAATTATGATTTCATAGTGCACTGTATCTGCAGCAAAACTGTGTTTTTAATTACATTATGAAACAAATTACTCATTAGAAGCTTTGATTTCTCTTTACAATTTGCTTAGCACTTTTATTCCTGGTAGCTTATATTTGTACGGTGATAAAACATATGAAATTCCACAGATAGAATATGCAGTATTTCTTCTATTAAAGAATGGGATGTTTAAACGATATCAAAGTTGAAACATTTATTACAGTAAAATTTTCGTGTGAGCAACTTAATTAATTATTGTATTCTTATGCACATTAAGTTTTAACACCATTGAATGATTTAGAACATTTTTATCCCGTTAATTTAACAAACTATGTAAGATCTTTTCCTAAATTAAACTAATATTTTGTTGATTTAATTGAAAACAAAATTATTGGAAGCTTCTCAGTTTTTGACAAATCCTAATATTCAAAAATGTATTCTTCATCTTTATAACAAACTTATATTTTCATTTTATTCATCTTCATCTCAGCATCAGGTATACGTATTATGATTAATTAATCTTTTAAAAATAATAATTGCAATTATTTAAATATAATTTATTGACTTATTTAAAATCAATATGAAAAGATTATTCTATATGAATAAATGTATTAATCTGTTTAAATTCATTTATTTGTTAAGTCATTGCTCTCACTTCATTAAACTTTTAAAGAAAATGTGTATAATGTATAAAAAATATATTAATGCTTTAATTATTATGATCATTTAAATAAGAGAGCGAAATATTTTGTTTTAACGGAATTTTTGCGTGATTTATTTAATTGCTCTCTCATTTAAATTACTAATATAGTATTATTTATGATATAAAATTTTGCTGTAAATATGTTTCTCTTTCTACTCACTAGATGGCGACACAATAAATGACAAGAAGAGAGCTTTTTATAACAAAACTGACCAAAAATGTTTTGAAAATAACGTAATTTTTACCGTTATTTATTAAATAACCATTTTTAACAATTGTGACATTATTTTAATCTGAATAATGTATTAAAATGCTAAATAATAAATAGTTTAGAGTTATTTAACAGCACTCTCTTAAAGCAATTCTCAGATTTTTCATATTAATTTAATTTTATTTACCTGTGGTAAATACTTCATGTAAATAGTAGAGTGAATAGTAGTATTTTTTCATCGCAAACGCAAATCCTTTAATTTTTTGCGGCGTGCGTAAATAGGAACTTAATTAACTGCATAAATATGCAACTATTATTTTTTAATCATCAATACGCTTGTTATACTTGCACGAACACTTGGTGCTTTTATATATTTATCCACACTATGTAAACAACTACGCAGAGAGCTACACTATATATATTACTAGAAACGGTAACACGAGTTTAATTTTAAGATAATATGCTATCCATTTTGTATACTGTACTTATATGCGGAAGGCATTTATTTGTAAAGCTGGTTTACGAATTTTTAATCGTGTATTTTATCAGCAATAGTATATTTTTCAATTGTCATCTCGCTGTACGCTCTTTATCTGATTTCAAAAATAAAAGCAATCGTCGCAACTTTAACTTTGAGCAATTATTGTGCATGTTAAATCATTTTTAACATCTGTTCTAAATTAAACTTTAATAAGATGTAGAATTTGCTTTTTTTTTCGTTAGTTAGAGCCTTGGAGTGCCAAACAAAATAGAAAGGAAAGTAGAACAATGTAACAATTTATCAATTTTATTGCTCAAAGCTAAATTTTGCGTATATAACCGTTAACTTGTGAATGTAACTCTCAAAAAGTTATTTGTTATCCAATAAAAATAATTTGTTGTTATTGTCTATGTGTTTTTATTTGATTATTTTATCACCGTAAATAAATTTTCAAAGAACATTGAAAAATAGTTCATATTTTTGGAATCTTTGTCAGTCAGAATATCGTGCAATCCTGCATAGCAAGTATCAATGCTCTGAAACAGTTTTACAGGATACTAGCAGTGACAAAAGCAAAAGCTTCTTATACTTCATCCAAGATTTAACCCTTATCACTCCAAAAGTACCTCTCAGATACCACTGTTACCTTTAAATTATTTACCACACTAACGTCATGTCTACGTTATAATTCTGATTTCGAGTCTCCAAGTAATCGTGGCAACTTTCAGCATTTGCAGTACAGGTTAAATTAATTTTAATATTTGTCCTAAATTAAACTGTTACAAAATTTACAATTATCTTTCTTTCTTTTTTTTCTTTTTCTTCCTTTCTTTTCTTTTTTTTCTTTTTTTTTGAGTGACAAAAATAAAAAGCAATATTGGAGAATTTAACAATTTATCGATATCATTGCCCAAAGCTAAATTTTGCGTAGACAACCGTTAACTTGTGAATGTAACTATCAAAAAGTTATTTGTTATCCAATAAGAATAAT